TATCCGTTATTTCTCAAATTTATTGCTTTTTTGCAAACGCTTTCTGAAGTTTCAGTTTTTGCGCTAGAAATAAGGATCCAACGTATAACAGCTTTCTATTTTCCATTTCTCATACAGAGGTGTCCGCTCTTCAAAAAATATTTTAATATTTTTTTTCATAAAAATATTCCTTTGAAAGTTATACGCAGTTAAAGTTATGCTTCAAATGTTTTGTATGCATATATGGTAGTACACCATGTCGTATGAGTAATACAGAATATATAAATCACTTGAATGAATGCTCAGGACATTTGTTATATAACTTTGACTGCGTATAACTTTTAAAGGAATGTTTTTATGAAAAAAATCATTAAAACCTTTTTTGTAGAACTGAAAATTTTGTATTCGCATATTACATCCACAAACTTGTAGACTTACTGGCTTAATGCAAAATCTCAAAATATCGAATGTTATATACATGTGAGAAGATATACTTGTATGATTTAGGCACGCTTTAAATTGAAAATGAAAAGCTTGCTTACACTGAATCCTTATTTTTAAAATAAATGTTTACAAAAAAAAATTAATTAAATTCGGAAATAACATACACCCTAATACGCGTACACTCTTACATACTTTTCACAACTTTATAAACCTGTGAGCACCACTATGGATTTCCCATTCATTTCAACTCAATTCCCATATGAAACACGAAAGTAAAAATGAAATCCTACAACAACACAACAAGACAAATGGCAAACAACAAAGTGAAATAGAAAAATAACAATAAAAGCAGAAACAATAAGAGGTAGTAAAAATCAGTGGAAATGAAAACTTTTTAAAACAAAACAAAATGCCAAGCTCTAAATAAGAGAAGCGGGAAAATTGCTGCACTTCGACAGTTTTATAGCGATCATCAAAGCGCGCACAAAAGCCATACATTAAAAGTGAAGCCGAATCTAAAATGAGCAAGGAGCAAGTGAAAAATAAAATGAAATAAAAATTCCAGTACCGCTGAGAAAAAATTTGTTAAGTGCGCACTAACTGGTCACTGCTCGAATTGCGAGCGCCAAATTGCCCAATGTTAAATAAGGTAAACACAGCTGCTTGTCGGCACTTCACCCCTTTGGCACGCAGCAAGCGGACAGCAACTTTGCCGAACCTTCGTTTCGCTTATGTACTTCGCTAAGTAGACGATTTGCTTTTGTTTTTGCGAATTCCGCAGCGCACCGAAATCTTCGCAATTTTGTTTTTGTTTTTTTTTTGGAAAAAAAAATTTCAGTGGCAGCTCTAAAAGCATACCCGCACGCACATTGCTTCCACATTTCTACCCTACGGCACTAAAAAATACGAAACTGTTGTTTCAAAGAAAATAAAGAAATTACAGCAAGTTTCTTTTCTTTTTTTTTTAGTTTAAGTTTGACAGCGTGTCATCGCCGCCGTAAGTGTGTAGGAGTGTGTCTGTATGTGTTGGTGTGCAGTGCGTGACACTGCAAAATTAGTTTGAAGTTCAATGCGGGTTGACCATTTATGTGGTTAACTTTTATGTTTCGGAGCGTAAAAGGATCATGACATTTAATTTGGTCAACACAAACAAACAACAAAAAAGTTGCCCGCTACCTTGTAAATTTATATATAACAGTTAACCTTTCTCGGAATGGAAGAAACAGTGGAAAAGTATTTTGCACAAAAGAGCAACTCATTCAATTAGATAGGATGATGTATAGCAAGGAAAGTCTTGGAGATTAATATATATTAGAGTGGAGCGAAAAAAAAATTTTTTTTGTGCTTAGCCTGAGGGTCAAACCTGTAGATTATAACAAAAGAAAATTTTTGGACCAAAAAGATAATTTTTTTTAATATCTAGCGGCGGCGCACTCAGTTTTAAAGTAAGTTTCGAGTGAAAATTTTTTTTGGACAAAAAAAATTATTTTTGGTTTAAACTCTTTACACTGATATAAAAATTACTGAATGTGACGGTTTTTGACTCAAAATTTATTTTAACGCTTAAGGAAAGCATGTTGCCGTGTAAGACTTTTTTTAAAACTCCAATAATGACCACAAAATTTTTTTTCAAGTTGATACAATAACTTTTAATTGGCCAGAAAGAGGACTCTCCACAGCTTCTGGCATACTTATCAAAATTTTTTTACGAAATAAAATTTTTAACTCGAAACTTTGCTTTTAAAATAAGTGGTATGTTAAAATTTTTTTTTTTAATTTTCTTTTTTTATAACCTACAAATTTTACCCTCAGGCTAAGCAAAAAAAAAATTTTTTTTTCGCTCCACCCTTATATAGGTATATGTAAATATATCTATCTGTATCTATGTATGCATGTACAATGCATATGTTAGTATTGCATATTCAAAAATATCGCTTCATTATGATAAAACCTTCAGTCGGCGAGATTGGATTTCAGTTTGTCTTTCCAAATTTTTAAACACACTCATTAGGCCTTTTAGAAGTACCATCTAACTATTGTAGATATTAGAAAATAAAGTTATATAAAATAAAGACAGATTTATTTTCGAATAGTTTTTCAAGCAGCGGTGGCTAAATTTAAGATAGTAGTATTGCTCCGAAGTGTAGCCTCTGTCAAGGAGGTAAACACTCCCTCCGACAGCAGAGCTGCAACACAAGCTTTGAGTTCACTCACACTTTTTTTATCTTAATTTATGGCTTAGTTAGTTGATCCGATATCAAAATATTTTAAGTTTCACTCGTATTACAGCTCAAACGGTCTGACGGACAGGCAGTCACCGGTTTTCAACTAGTACTGTCATCTTGATAATTTCTTTGTATATATTAATAAAACTATAGCTATTTCGCCTAATTTGTTTCCTGTAACTATATCTATAAATAAACATTATGTTTTCTTTGTGGTATGTGGAAACTCTCTTTAAACTCTAATTTATTTTTTGGCAGATCAGGAAACACTATTTGATCAGTTATAATTACATCTACTGTACCACTCAAACACCTCTGGTATTAAAAGTTAAAGGCAGAAGAAAAAACGTCCTATTGGAGAATAGTCTGTTAGACTATCACAACATGTGATATGGCATATTTCGAAGTTCACAACTCAACCTTTATTGTAAACAATGGCAATCATTTCCTACTTCTCGTCTCAATTCATTATGTTCTACTTTGCATTTCAACTTTTTATTTATATACTTTCTAGTTTTATTTGCACAATATAAATATCATTGAATAAAGGTAATTATTTACCAACATCAATATAGATTACGATCAAAAAAAAATCGCCTCATTCAAATTTCAATCTAAATTGAAATAGATAGCAAACTTACATGCATTTGATAAATTACCCACGTGGCTTATTGCTTACACGCAGTGCACGGTTTAATGGCGGCACATTTGTTTTAACACAAAATGGCTGTGACTTTGATTGCGAAAAAAAGAAAAGAAAACAGCAACACAAATGCTAACATTCCTGCTGCAGCATTGAGTAAAGATAGATAAGTAAAAATTTAATAAAAAATCGAAAAATAACAAAAAGTGGCAGCATGAATAAAAGATGATATGCGAAAAAAGTGGCGGCAGCCGTCGAATGCTGAGTAAACTGAGCTAAGTACATCATTTGTTAAAGAGTTTCAGCTAAAGACGGAAAAGAATTAACAAAATAGAAGCAAAAGCTGTGAATAAGTATAGGTGGCTGACCTAGATGATGCGGCCATTTGCTGCGTAATGCTTTCACTGGAGCCAAAAAGTGATTGCAATCGATAGCATGAAGATTTCTTATACATCTGATAAGGGCTTGTAGAAAAGAGGGTGTGTATGCGAATGGGTTGGTGCGTTTAAGTAACAGTTTTAGTAATGTCTGTCAGTGCATATAATTCCTTTATTGGCTTACATATTTTGGTGGAAGTAATATTTGCTTTTATTCTGGTGCCAAGTAGTTTCGGATTCAAAACAAACAACTTAACAGAAAATATATATATATAATGTTGTATATTGAGTTGTTTTCGAAGTAAGTCAAACAAGTGCGTTCAGTTTTTTTATTTTTTATTTAATTGCGCTGCTCTAAGACCCTATAGTTTACATACATCAGAAAAATAATTAAAGATCATTTCCATTAAAATATAATGTACCTATATTTCAATATAAAGCATCTAGCCAATATATGAAATCACTTAGAAACAACAGGGCATAAGTTTGGGTGTAACCGAATATTTCATACTCTTGCAACTTAGGAAAACAAAATTTGGGACATACCTTATGGTATTGGCAATATTAAAAGATATAGGGAAAGGATTCAACTGCATTGTTCGATACTAACTTATTTTGAAGGTCATAGTCACCCTTAGTTTTATACCTATATTTTACTTCCTGTCAGCGAAAGTTATACTTAAATCATTCTCAAATGAGTTATAATATATGTGCTATAAATTCAACCGAACTTTAACCTCAAGTTTATATATTAAGTTAATATGAAAAACGTCAACCCAAGGTTCGGAATTTATTATATTAGTGATATGAGGTTCAGACCAAGATCAATTTATCTATAATGAACGAAAAACCATTAATATTGTATAATTTTATAACTTTTAAGAAAACGTGCCTACTTAGTTTCTTAAAAATATCACACATTTTAAACAACTTAAATGTTTTGAAGTCAGGTGGAAAATTGGAAATCATTATAAAGGATCTATTGAATGGGAAATGAAAGTGCCGATTGCATTAATTTTTTGATATTGCTCAAGTATACTTTAGAACTTATTTTAAAGCAATTTTATAAATGTATAAATATAAGCAAAGCATATATTATTATACAATATATATAGAGTAAGGCCAGCCAAACGTTTCAAAATCATGAATATTAGTTATATGGGGGCTAAGGCTAGTTTTCGTTCGATTTTATCCAGTTTAGGCACATATATACACTCTTATTAAAAAAAATACGCTCTCTCAATTTCAATAAAAATAACTCCCACATTGGCCGATATATGTGCTATAAAGTCAACTGGAAGTTAGAAAATCATTATATTAGTTACATGAGGGCTAAGGAAAGTATTGATCCGATTCAACCTATTATTGACACAAAAGTATATTATTATTATCAAATAAGTATTTTCTTCGATTTTCAATAATATATCTCACAGATTGGCCGATATTTTCGGTAAAAAGTCAGCGATACGCACTGGGGTTCACATATTTGGTGTTCCTAAAAAGTTACGGTCCGATTAAGACAATTTTTGGGCGTAAGTAAAAATACTTTGAGGGCACTATTCGTGCAAAGTTTTATCCGGATACATTAATTGGTTCATGATTTGTATACTGGAGAGTCAAAAAATCATATGGAATTTAACATTGTGCTATATGGGAACGAGGCTATTTTGCCACACTGTAATGTAGGTATGTCAGAATAAGATTACTCACCAAATTTGGATGAAATCGAGTAGGTCCGGTCCTTAGATCTGGATTTTCACTCAGATGTATAAGCGGTGCCACGCAGTAGTCTAAATTTGACATCGGCTCTTATAAAGCCTTTTCGTTCCATCACGGGTGTAAAATTTAAGGTCTCTGAAGCATTAAGTTATTGATTTATCGCGCATTTAGTAGTTTTTAACAAAACCGTTATATGGGGAGAGGGCGGGGTTTTAAACCGATTTCATCCATTTTCGCACTGTCGATAAGGGTCCTTATAGGATTTGTTCTAAGCTTTAGTGGCTTAGAAGATATCTACATTAAGCTTATTAGAGGGGCCTTTCTATAAAATGTCCATAACTCCGACAGTTTGTTGACCGTATATTTTTAATCGATTGCACGTTGTGAGAAGACAAAAATACAATGACAGATAAAGGTACTGCTTGTTAATTACAAACTAAATTCAACTTAAAACATTAAAATAAAGAAGTTTAAACTCCAAGAGCTCATCAAGTTCTTGTGTCTGCAGAATATTCTGGTTTAAACCTAGAGACTGTCAAAAGAGGAACCCGTACTGTAGCAAACAAAGCGCAGAAAACGGCGCTGGATAGATGACACTCTCAAGCAGAAGTCGATATCAATTCAAAATAGAATGTAAAAACGATGTAAAAATCTCTTGGTACGGAAAAAAGAACATAGTCCTCAACGGTCGGAGACGACGAAACCTTGTTGAGGCTCTATGCACCAGTGAAGAGTAATTAAAGGCAAATCGAAATAGTTAATTACAAGTACAACCAAATATTATTTTAGATCAAATTAGCATACGCTTAAGCTCTCTCAATTGCATGAAGATATCTCGCTTAATAATCAAAATATTTGGAAAAACTATAGAAGAGTTAACTAGAAGTTGTCAGCTAAGATTCAGGTCTTTTGGTACGAGTCTAACCTTGACACACGTCATACCCAAAAAATTAACCAAAATGTGTTGTTTTGATCCATAAGACATATTGAGATCCTCTACTATATCTCTGATTACAATGCTACGATTTTGAGCACTGCTTCATTAACTTTTTCGATGTTATCTTCATTAACAGTGAAGTTGAGTCAAATTTGATCAGTGATAATTTAACTCAATATCTATATCGATTAATCTTAGCTTCAAGAAACTACCGTTAACGGCATAAAATAATGAGAATCTGAGCAACGTGTACCATGAGTATAAAAAATATTAAAAAAGGAAATTATTTGAAGGATATATAAAATTTTTCTGAATATAGGTTTTATTTATATACAAATAGTTTCTATCTTCGTTAAATGATAAATGGATGCTTGTTCAATCGAACTCCACTGACTGGAGTTAAAAAGACTATGCTTTTTTATTATATTATGGTATGTGCTCTAAGCTTCTCCTTTGAGTTTCGGATTGAAAAATATTAAAAAATCTAAGGACGAGACTAACCACGGTAATTGCATCGAAAGTTAGCAGAATAAAAAATTGGACATAGCTGCCTTTTCTTTGACTCAACTTTACCAATTATTCATCTAAACTCAATTAACCGAGGCTATGTATGCATACTGGCTTCAATAACTACTTTTTATAACATATGTGTTTTTTTTTCACAGGTTCATTCTAAGTGTATCAGAACACGTGTCTTTAACAGAAAATGAGGTTTCATTTCTGCTTGCTTTTTCATTTATATTTCACATGTTTTTCATAAACACGCTAGCTTTAGCAACTAGCTTACAGACGAAGATATGCATACAGGGGATCATATGCATTTCATGAGTTTGCTTTAAACGCACTTCCACACAAGTCCGTCCCGCTTGTTTGACAAAGAAAATTCGTTGAAAGAAATATGCTCGAAGCTAGTGTCATTGCCGTTGACAGGACATTTCCAGTGAAGGCAACGAAAACAGAAACAAAAAGCGAGCAGCTGACATTAGCTGAGCAAAAATGAATTTCCTAATATATGGAAGGGAAAGGAATTAAAAGCACGCATATATGAGCTCATATCGTAGCAACCTGGCAATATGGCAGTCAAAGCAAGAAAATTAAAAACGAAAATGAAAGAATGCGTTGCTGGCAGCGAGCTGGTGGAAGCCAACGCCAGCGTGATGACCGAAATTACAATTAGAAATGTGTGTGACTGCAACATGTGGACGCACATATATTTGTTATTAGAGTTAAAGTATAGTAAAAAGGTTTGCAAAAAAGCTGTAGAAAAACAGCTGAGCATTGAGATGACAGTGCCAAAAGAAAAGCATACAACAAAAGCAATAACAAAAGGTAGCAAAAAGCAATAAATATAAGAAACTCACACACAAAGCCAGAAAGGAAGGAAACAAAGTGCAGTTAAGCACGAAAAGCCGCACAAAAACAAATATGCAACACGCGAAAAATTAACACAAAAACCAAGCGCCACAAAAACACAAAGAAAGTCAGTGTGCAAGGGAATGTGCGATGAAAAAAGCGGAGTCGAATTTGTCAAGTTGACAGCAGCCGAATGGCCTTGAGAGAGTGTGCGGCGTGTACGAAATGAAGTTGAGAGCGCCCGATTGACACGAACGACGCACAGCTCGTGCGCTGAATTCGCCGTGCAGCACAGTTTTCGGCGCGAATTCGCCGCCAATGTCGACGCACGAAAGGATATGGACTTGTTGGGTTTTTAAAGTAGCGTCGCCATGTCTAGCACGGCAGAATCAAACGGGCAGCGAACGCGTGCGGTAGCCAATAAGCCAACGAGTCGAGTAACGTTTTGTAACTTTCAGGCAGACAGAGTTTCTGTGTACGTGGGTGTGTGTGTGCGCTTTGAAGCGCAAGGTTTTACAAGTGTTTGCTAGGCGATTTGTGCTGTTGAAGATGTAAATATCACGTTAAGAAACGCTAGTGACATAATAACGAAACAAATAAATAAATACTGAATTGTGTGTTGGCAGCGTTTGACGTGCTGTCTGCCGCTTTGCCTGTGTTATTTACCGTTTGTTTCGCCAGCTAATCAGCCAGGCCGTCTGTCGACAAAATCACACTTTCTACTTCGACACGCGCTGAAACGCTTGAGACTCGCGGCGCTTTTCCGCTCAAGTGTTTTAGCATTTGTATGCAAGTGTGTGTGTGTGTGTGTGTCGCTGCTTGTTAAGCCTCTGTCTCCTCGCTGCAATATTTTGTGCAGTGAAAGGCACTTTGACTTATTTTGACTCGCGCTGCATGCAAACACACACACACATTCACATAGAAATGCATAAATAAACACAAGAAGCACTTTTGACAGTTCCGCTGCACACAGCGCGCGTACACTTGTGTGTGTGTGTGTTAGTCACGTGTGTTTAATATTTATTTATTTATTTGTGCATATTTTTTACAGCAACAGTCAAAACAATAACAACAAATACTAGTGCACACAAAGTGTTGCGCTCTACATTTATTAGGCAACAAAAATAGCAGCAACAACAACACTTGTAACAATAGCAGCAAAAACAAGTTGAATTTGTGCCAAATTTTATTCAGTGTGTTTACAGTTAAGCGCGCTTCTGTGTTGGTGCGTTTAATACTTTGCCATCTCGCAATCAAACACACAAACAAATATACAGAGTAACATACATATATACATATATTGTGTGCTTTGTCATAGTGAAATTGCAGCTGCCGCTAGTTTGCTAGTTTTTTGTCTTTAAGTTTTTGTTGCTGCCAAAGTCACCGTTATAAAATATTGCACAAAATGTCACTGCATAGCGTCGCATCGTTGCAGTTTTGGTTGGTCATCCTTTTGGGGTTAAGCCACTTTGGCACGCGAACCGAGGCACGTGCGGTGAGTACAAATATTTTTGGCAATTTTTAAAAGTTTTAGAGCAAAAGTTTTATTGGAAATTTGTTTACCGTTATTTGAAGCGTTGTCGGTTGTGCTATTTTGAGTAAATAAATTAAGTTTGATAACTATTTCGCAAATATGTGATTCGCATTTAATCTTGTGAAAATGTGCGTGAGACATTTAAGAGCAGAATAAGAAAAAATAATTAAGTTTAATTGAAGTCACTGAGTAATAATATATATTATAAAAAACCAAACAATATTTTATATGAAATTTATTGAGTCAGCTAGACTTGAAACCCTTAAAATAATTATACATAATTTTTTAAATTATTATAAGGTTAAGGAGCACACCTAGTGTGACAGCACAAAAGATGCGATTTTCGGGAAGTAAAAAAAAAATGTTTTTAAGGTATATTTGCACATATTTTAAGAACACACTGAAAAATTAAAAAAAAAATTTTATATTTTTCGAGTTAAACGCCATCTGCAGGGATTCCACGGAGAACGTGGCTGAAACCTAAAAATAAAAATTCTCTACTGCCAGTGTTTTATAAATACATAAAATGTGCTTTTTTCCAAAAAACCAAATTTAAAAAAAAAATTAAAAATTATCAAGATTATCGTCTATATATATGTAGTTAATTAGAATATTTTTAACAAATAAATTAAATGTTTATAGTCAAAGTGAATACTTAAGTAAGTCATATATTATACAGATGTTTTCATAAAATAAATCTGTGTTAAATATTTGAGCCAGACAAGATAATTCAGAGCACAAAAAATCTCAACTTGTTCCTACCAAATTTTCACGACTGGTTTTCAAAGCATACTTCAACGATATTTCATTAATTCACTGCCCGCTCTTAAATACAATTATACGCCAATAAATATAATTACGTCACGGCATCGCCTTCAATTTAGCCAAACAATTCTCGTCTATAACGCTTAAGCAGGTATTCCTGTCTTGACATTACATAAATTCAAATTTTGTCATATATCGATGGTATATATATTAAAAAAGATATTGTTAAAATTATTTGTTAAAATTCAGATTATTTTCAATAATATAATATTTTTAGTGTCGCGGCAACTCAGACGGCTTGACGTTTCTTTATTGTGTTCATTACAATATCTCAAGTTTAATTTGTCGATTTACATCAAATTGCATATATATATTTTTTTAAATTTTTGTTTTAATTTCTTTGTCGTATTAAACAAAGTTTTCTTCAGTTTCTGGTTTGTAAAGGTTTTATAAAATCAATAAAATTAAAAAACCCTAAAAGGGTATTATAGCTTCGGCTAAAGCTAAAGTTAACGTTTTTTTCTTCTTTTAATTTATTTGTGTACTTTTGACATATGAGAAAAAAATTAATAGCAAAAATTTAAAATGCTTTTTTCACAACTTCCACCAAAACTCAAAAATCGGGCTTAGATACCCCTTAAACATAAGCGTTAGCATAAGTCATATATTGTCAAGCCGTGTGCTTGAAAAACGTCATTATTTGATTATTGCTGATTACTTTCGAGTGTTAAAAGAAGCCACTAAGTGCAATAAATCTACTAACAATAATTTGCTTAAAGTATACGACCATCTTTAATTAATCTGACACCATGGTTCACATGACAACGGAAAGCTTCCGATTCCAGTTGCATCTTTTATTATATCATTAATTCATAAGTCTTATAAAAAAACTCTAACCTTATTTTTACTATCAATATTTCGGAATATTATCTAACCCTTTATTTTATTTTTTATAGCTTTAGTAGATTGTAAGTTTTTTGTGTTTGGGAGTCTGATCATATCTACTGGTTCTTGTCACACAATCACACGAATCACGTCAAGGAATCTGCTCTCAAATTAAACTAGATATATTCCTTTTTTCTATTTTCGTTCCATTTCATAAGATTTTATGTCTACAGTGTGTTAGCAATTTAGTTTGACATGTCGCTGACGTCACTTGGACGATTTGAATCTTCCAGCCATTCTTTTGTACCAAACTTTTAATGACTGTACTTATGACTTGCTTTAAAATCCGTACATACATATTCTTTTACAGCCGACTTAACTAAATACGCTTCCTTAAGATTATAGTATTAAATTGTTTGAATTAAAAAGAAGAATTTGTGATCTATTAAGTATAATTTCAGAAAAATTACTCTCAAAGAATACTCAACGTTTTGAACATCTTTTAAGTATGAAATGCCATTTAGCCAAAAAATTTTGGTGTTTTAGATGATCATCTATATACATACAAGTATATGATCACAACAGAACATATTTTCATTCCAAGTTTGGAGAAAATAGACTAAATAGTAAAGAAAGTCCAGTTAAAGGTACATTTGGAATAAACCTAAAAGTCTTTTATGGTTTAGAAGAGCCGAAGAGCTACGCTAGTCGTTAACAAAAACCCATATTGATTCAAATAATTGCGGAATGAGACAATAAATTAAGAGATGAATTTTTTGTAATATTTGGAAGAATTTGTAGTACAATTAAAAAACATATAAAATGCATTAAATTTATTTAAGACTGTATAAAATGACTAGAAAATACTGAGCACTGAAACTATCATTGCGTATCGATTGATATAATAATAATTCTCCTAAAATGTTCGATATTTGCATTATATTAAATTATTACAGTTTATATTTCAACCTTTTCTTGTGTTCTCATTTCCAATTTTATTCAATCTGTCACATGTATTGTACCTTTTTTCTGTCATCAACTCCCCGCTTTACTTACCCAAATAAAAATCGAAATTTTTGTCACGTGCTCAAAGTTCATTATTCGCAAGTCATCTCATTGTCTGCTCTATTTACTTTTGTTTGTTCACTGGCCTGGTTGACGTTTTCAAATACCTTTTTACTGTTCAAAAATATTACAAACTCACTTATATCCGTTGCAAGCTGGCAAATCAAAAGCGAGAATGTTGCTGCTACAAACACTACATATATATTCCGATATATATATATATTTTGTTGCCTTATTAAAAGTCTGCATGTGTCACTGAAAAATCTATCAAGGATAAACATTTTTAAAATTCTTTATACGAGTATAACACTGATATAAAAAAAAAAGAAAAATAGAAAAAAAAAACAGAAATAAAATATAGAAAGTTCACGTCATTATAGTCCAGCCATGTTTGCTTTCATTGCATACTTTTCTGTGCACCAGCCCTTGGCTTGTTTATCGCACATTAGTATGCTAGTCAGTCATTTGGTTTGATCTATTTGCCATCATAGCCAATGCACAGCACATTAATAATGCTATACACAGTTATTTTATATATCACGAATTCGAAGATAAAACGGAACACTCAGACTTTTATATATTTTCTTCATTTTACAGTCACAATAAAATACAAATACCAACTGTAAATATTTATAAAACTGTAATTCGTACACGCTTTTACAATTTACAAATGGCAATCGTTTCGCTAAATGATTTATTCCTTCTTTCAAGCACTTACATAGTCACAAAAACATGCCCCAATTTATTCTTCATTTATTTTGCAATAAAACCGCCATTTATTCATTCTCGCTTCCGCACGCTTCCTCTTCCACGAGCTCTTATCAGCAGTTTAGATGTTGCTCTATTCGGCACAGCACCTTGACCGACCATTACTTTCACTTTTAATGCTTTTCAAGTTTCAATAACCATTGTACGAACACATTGTAGCTGAATGGTGCCTATTCACACATAGATTTGTTCAAGTTACACAGTCATAACCATCTGTCAAGTGCCATTAAACTCAAAACTGTCAAATGTCAAGCAGCGCAACAGCATAGCTTTAGGCGAAAATATTTTGCAAACAAAAAGGAGCATTAGAGCATTAGGCAAAAGCATTTATGCCATTGCTTTGCTGAAGCGATTCAAAGGAAACTGCTGTGCTAGGTGCAAGTGAATGTGACAACTAGAAAGATATTGTAAGTCGGAGCACAGTGGGATCAAAGATGATTAATAGACTAAAAAGAGATTTAAAGCCTATGAGAAAGGAAAACAATGTAAATAACTGCAGGTAAGCAAAGTATTTTCTAACATATGGTATGTGTCTTAGCTAGGTGTAAAAGAATTTTTTTTAGCAGAGTCACACACTCATTAAGTCAATATTAGTGTAATCATAAGAGAACGAAACATATTGAACTCAGAAAACATCCGTAAACAAAATATCGACCATAATTGGTAGTCAACATATTCATAAGTCGTTGTGTCCTTATAAATGATATATGGTATATCCTAAATGGAGCATAAAATCGAATCCTTCATTTGACGAGTATATCAAAAATTGTTTTTTAAAGTGTAGTGAGCAATATTATTTCGAGAAACTATTATTTTGAACAATCTAAACTATTGAGAAGTACCATATTTTTCACAATTATATTAAGATAAATTAAATGAGAAATTTGCAGCTTTTGTTGAATCATACGATACAGACAAAAAAAAAATATTTATATCAAAGTTTAAGTTAAATTCCTGATAAAGTTTTGAGACATCGTGCCTACTACATCCAAAAAATTATTTTAGAGAAAAACGCGTTTAAATTTTAAGTTAAGATTCAACCGGCCGGGTTACCACGACACTCTTGTAATATAAAACGGCTATAACTTTGAGAATAATTGGAATTTAGAAAACACTTTTTAGAGAGGTAATTTAGAATATCTAAATTTTAGAAATATGATATGATATTCGAATTTTTGAATAATTAGTCCAGATCCACTTAACCAAAGTAGTGCTGACTAGTTTCATAGAAACCAAAGAGATCTCTTCGATTGAAAAAAATATACCTCAAAACTGTATGGTGATTTTGGGTGAATGAAAAAGAAACTCTGTCTGTAACATAATTTGCTAGATATAAGAAATATTTCTGAGGATGAAATCCAATTTTATTACCGAAATTCCTCTACAGTTTATATTATATAATATGAGCTGTTTTGGGAAACTTTGGAAAAAAGGCTTGATTTAGACCAATCGATTTGAGAATTACTGGAATTATGGTA